CGCTCCCCAGAGCCTCACCGCAGCCTTGCCCTCTTCTCGGCAGCTGGTTGAATGCCAGCATTGGTGTGAAGCCCATCCAAGTCTCGCTGTTGAATCCCAGGAAGTTGTCAAGGTTCAACCGCCAAACCCTCGAGATGAAAAGGGGTCGGCGGCACCCGGGCGGAGCCCTTACAATATATGTTGAATGCACAACGTCTTGCAGAACCGATTGTTGTCGACTGTGGTAAAAATACGTCAGAAGATGAGCTTGGAACATTGAACTTGAGTTAGGAGGGCGTGAATGGTAGATAACCTTGGGAAGCGGATAAGTAATACGAAGGCGTTCTGATGAAACACAAGGAAGCATAGATGTATGTTTCGAGTCTTCTGCAGAGAAAGGGCCAACACTGCCACCACTTCTGAGGCATCTCTCAGCGGGGATGTCTAGTATGAGACCGATCTCCTAGTCCTAGTGATAAGCTTACCCGAAAATGTAGAGTTTGGGCAGAGTTGCACGAGTTGCAGGTGAAAATCTGGTGGTGGACTCGCAAATTAAGCAGGAATTGTGTCATGGCAAGAGGTTCTGGACAAGCCTCATCCACAAAGCTCTATGTCCAAGACTGGCCATGAATCCTATTCTGATATGAGTGTATATATATATATATATGTGTGTGTGTGAGAACGGCAAGCCCATGAAAGCTTCATCGAAATACAACACTCATCCAACGACAAGGACATATCTTGCCGCTGGACACGACCAGCTAATATGAACACATCCCTAAAAGGAACTGAAACACATTCTGCTCATTGGCCCTAGTTACTTTGCACATGTCTAAGACCTAGTTAGGGCGAATCATCTGCCCCAGTCTGACACGCAGTCACTCAGAAATCCTCCTTTTCGCCCCCGGCAGAAATCCTTCGCAGTTTCTCACCTCCTCGGCAGAGATGGCGCCGCTGGCTTTCAGTCTCTGGAAGCCCTCGAGGGCACACTGATGCCTGGAGGCGCGGGACAAAAGAGGTCCATCCGTGAAAACTCGCTCCATCCGTTGTGGTACAAAGCAGGCGAACGAAAGCTTTCAACGGATTCCCCTTCCAAGCTAGGAGTTTTGGGCTGCGAATGGACTGCTAGCACCTGGCGTTGGCCCATCTTTGATCAACAACCTTTGAGGTTGGAGAGGACTAGCACATTGTTCGCCTTGGCTGCCCTGGCAAAGCCCAAGCGCACACCGGAAGTTGGGGCTTCCTTTATCGGAATTCCAACGGTGAAAAGTGTGTTTGATCATAACACTTTTGCAAAGGATAGACCTCTGGAAAGCCTAATTGTTTCGTCGCCTTGTGTTCGCCATGAAGCTATTTAGCCCTGAAGAGAGTACCTTTCCCATGGAAGCGGATTGGATCTACATGTTGTGCCACCTCCCAAATGAGCCTCACAAAATGGTGCTGAACCTGTGCAATAGTCTTACTGTCTGAAATCACCGACCTCAGCATCTCCCGTTTGCTAATTGCGACGGCATCCGCTATCGCAGCCTGTGGGGGCTGATCTCCACTCCATAGCACTCGGCGCAGGTCACCACCGCCGCACAAAGCACCAACTTCCCCAGGCCGCTGCCCACGTCACAAAAGCGGTGGTGTGGCTGAAGCGAGGCCTCCTGGCGGGTAGGGAGGGCAGGTCGCTCAGGTCGCTTTTGCTTCGCCCAACAAATGGACGAAGCCATTGTAATTTTGTTGGTTTTTGGCATCAGCGATCGATCTTAAACACCCTCTCAAAGTGGTGAGACTTACTGTATATATATATATAAGTAAGCTTGAATATGATGTCCAGTGCAGGAAGATCACCTCCATGAAAAGAAGGCCTTGAAAAATGGTCGGACAGCCTACAGAGGCAGCACACTTTGTTGATGAGCTGCTGAGCTTTCAAAATGACAGCGGTTTAGGGATTCTGGTGAAGTTTGCACACGTCAACTGACAACATAAAATCTTGTGACTGTGCAACTTTCTTGCTAGCAAACGAAAGACCTTCAGAGGCACATCTTGCAACATGAGCGATCACTTTATGATTCGTCCATGTTGATGTTTTTTACTTTTGGAGGTCCAAAAACTTAAGTACCACAAATAGTCATTCTGCACAAGATGTGATACAGCGTGCCCTGGACATGCGCCATGCTAGTTGCCATCAGTGGGGACTGGGCGCTTTGCAGCAACTCGTGAAATCCAAAACAGGGCCGCCAACCGATGAGCCGGTCCCCAACGGTTTTGTTGCGAACGCTCCTGCAGGAGCCTTGCGAAACCATTGTGATCAAGCTCCCCATAGGTATTCGCACAACGATTGGGGCGGAAGACCTCCTTGCAACGTGGCACACGTTGCGCGTGAAAGGATTTGGGGATCAGTCCGCAACAGGTCTGGGGCCCATGTACCTAATGACAAAAAAATCCAATACATACATCTGACATCTGAATTTGAAACATTCCGCATTTCTGCATGACAACTAAGACCGTGCGGGCCGCCCTATTAGGGCGATGCAGCTCCAAAGAATCATGGACTTGACACGCCCTCTCAACACATGCGGGATGTATATACATGCGCAACAAATGCTTGTGCATCATATCTTTGATTTGAGTATTGGCTTGGTATCTACCCCCGGGCCGCAACGAGCTGGCATTGTTTGGGGACTCGACAAGGTCTGATCACAACAAATGGATTGTAGTAGTTTGGGACTGAATATAGCTCTGACTAAACTAAACAGGATTATCAAAAGTACAAAGTGGTCAGGATCAAGTAAGGCTCAAGATTTGACTAGTAGATTGCCTTGGATTTAGATTCTGCATTGCCTATCCGACTAGACTGCTTACGGTTAGTGAGAGGTAGGCATATCAATATGTCCCACCCCGCCTCAATCTCTTTTCGTCGCACGTGCCACGGCTCAATATGCTCTTCACCATAGGCTTCCTGTTGAGAGTGGGGCGCAAACAACCTGTGAAGGGCATTCGGCATTACTACTAGCAACAAGTGCATCGCTACTAGTACAGTAACAAGTGCATTCCTGTTCGATTGCTCATTGACCCAAGTGAATGGATTATTGGGGAAGTTGGATCAAGAAGTCCCTTTTCTCTGGCTAGAAAGGTCGTCCACAGTCAGAAAGCCAAAGCCAGGCCAAGCCCAAGTGGTCCTCCAAGATAAGCACTCCTTCCGACTCCTCTTCCCTTCCCTACCTCCATGTCTTTTCGCAGCTGCACCAGCCGCTCTTCTGTCCCCATTGAAAGGGGTGGTAGATCACACCAGGGGATCTCTCGCCAAGGGTCCTGTCGTTCGTTCATCAAGTGTTCTAAGGACTTCTAGGACTTCCATCAAGGATTCATTCCTTCCATAGACTCAGATACTAAGCAGACACAGGATTCCAACGAGTTCTTGCTGTCTTGAGGCTGATATTCAACCGCCGATCGCACATGTCCTGCTCGTAGTCGATTCCCGGCTGCACCTTTCGCAGGCGCTGCACGCGCCGGGAGACCAGATCGGTGCCCTGACGCGGCGCAACGGTGCAAGGAATGCACCCAAATTGGACCTCAAAGGTATCAAAAACCTTCTTTTTTGAGGCCGCGGTGGTAGGTTGCTAGAAGAGGTAAGCTTGTTTGTAGCTATTAGGTACTGGACGCTACTAAAGAGACTCGCAGGAGAGCTCACGCGCTAATAATTTGGTTCCTGTTTTGGGGGAACTTAGTCCTTTTTGGGGCAGCTACTCGGTGCTTAAGGGCTTTCCCTCTGGCCAAATCAGGTGATTGTGCTCCGGGTTTGAGGGTCGGCAATTGCAAAGCTGTGCTGGAAACCAGGAAAGCAATAACTGAAGTTGGAAATGTTGGAAGCCAAAAGGAAGGAAGCTTAGCACCAGGAAAGTGTTAAGAACACCTGATACACCTGTGTAGTGCAAATCAAAAACCGTATCTAAACGCTATATAACCTTATCGTATATTATCTTGGACTGCAGTAGAGACTTGCTCCCGTTATTAGTCGTTATTGACGACATAAAGTTGTGAAGTTGTGCAGAACAAAAGCCAGACACTGGCACGAAGCTAAGCAGAAAAACATGAACTCCCAACCATTACAGAATGTCTCTCCTGTTTCGCATCATTCTATGTATATATATATATACAGTTCCTGCGGGAAAATATTCAACCAAGTGAATCTGGCCAGACCAAATCCCTTTTCGAACTGCAAGGGACTTCTTCCTCGAGAGACAGGTTGTTTGCGGCCAAGGTACCACAGAGATGCAAGCTGCCCATCGTGGCCGACCTCGCCAGACACGGCCGGTCACTGGAGCCGGTAACTGTGGGGCGGGGCGTAACGGGACGCGCCAGACGGGACGCTCGCGCCAGTCGGGGCGCAACATGGCAGCATGTCCCGTTCTGTGCAAAGCTAGCTGTACACCAAGCAGATTACCATTGTAATTCCCTTACTAGTAGTAACAAGGACGCTAGTAGAAACAAGTGCATCGCTACTAGTAACAAGTGCCTTACTAGTAGTAACAAGAAGGTAATCCTTTGGAATTGGAGTAAAGGGTTGCAGAATTATGCAATTACCAGCCCTCTGCGAAGGAGACGGTGCTAAACTCGAGAGTTCAGGGTCAGGCAAAGGACAGAGGGCAAATAGGTTTGACCTGTTTTTTTTTTTCCTGGCTTCTTTATTCCCCTGGTTCTGTTATGAACGAAATGGAGAGTCTGGGAGTGTGGCTATCGAACTTTCCTTTGAGCCTTCGGCTGCCGAACAGGCTGCCAACAACTGATTCGGACCACAGCTACTCAAGTGTGGTTTCCCCAGCACTACTTGGTTCTCCTGCAGCAGAACATCATCCCGGAGCAGAAGTGCCAACGGATGAAATACGCAACAGTTCAGCCAGTCAAACGACCATAGGAGGTTCAACTCATCCAGATCTGCGATTTAGCAATTATGTGTCTTCTGATTTCCTCTGTGCTGGTATTTTGGGCTTCATTTCCCAATTTGGGGAATCACACAAAGGACTCTTCCTACTCACCCGCAATATTTTGCATAACGTAAGCTGCAAGCTGTTGTATCTCACTACCCTTAGCATTTCTGAGAAGAGGGGTGAGCCAGGCTCACCTCACAGGTGATTCGTTTGGCTCACTTGAGACGCCCAGATTGGTCAATGAGTCAACACCACTAGGACTACCACACCCGAGTGTGGCTACCGCAGCACTGCGCACCATTTTTGGATCGCCTCGTTCCTTCCACCCGATCAACTGGAGCGAAGCGAGTTCCACAAGAATCGAGCGCCACGTCTATGCTTAGAGCCACTGCGAAGCGGTGGAACTGCACGTGCATAGTCGTCGCTTCTACACGAAGCAATGGAGCCTGGAAGCAGGAAAGAAGTTGAATCAAAGGAGAAGAAGGGGTAGGCTGCCTGATAGGCTTGGAAGAACTTCAGCAGCGTTGGCTCCCAGAAGCCACTCTTTAAAAAGTCGGGTTTGATCTGCCTTTCTCAAGGGGCGATCTTGGGAAGCGACAGCATGTACTTAGAATCATGCTGCTGGAACCCACGGGGCCGCACAAGCCTGTGTGCTGCGAAGTCGAAGAGGGTCATTCTATTAGAGTTTGAATCTATTTTGGAATCTACAGTCTGACATGTATGCAAGACCGCTCTGGCGGGGCAACTCCCCGTCACAGAGCATGGAAGGACGAATCTGGAAAAAGCAGCACGTAGGCACACGGGAATACGAATCACAACGTCCAAGCCAGCAAGTAGCAAGCAACAACAAGACCCAAAAGGCATATAAACATATTAATAAATTATCATTACAGGATCTCATACAGTACTATTCTACATGACGCATCATACACAGAAAATGTATACATCTGTGCATAGGGCAGACAAATCTGCTCTGCACACAAATCGAGAAAGAAAGGTCTCGGTCTGCTCACTGATGGGCACAAAAGGGGGGGCACGTGAGCGTGGCCCGGGAGGGGACAGTCACCAATCCGGAGAACTCCAAAATGCGATTCTAGGTTCTTCTGGTGACTCCATGTCACTTCATGAAGCTTTCAGTGCTAAAACAATTAGAACTAAGCTTTCAGTCAGGGAAAGAAAAAAGAAAGGATCTTGCACCCAGACATGTTTTTTAAATCATCGCTGGCAACTCTAGGGTCCCTTCTCTTTGTCTCATGTCCTTTGCAGTCAAACTCATCTAGAAATCATCTGAAGGAGGACATGATCTCCCAAACTCACCTGGACCTACAGTAGTTGTTTCATTGGTCCCAGTTGGTGACGGATCGACTCTTTAAGTCTTTGAGGCTGAACGCGCTTGGTCGGGTCTAAAAGAGGCTTCTCATACGGTCGGCTGCTGTCCACAAGTCAAAATCCCCCAGGCGTTCACTGGCAAAGGTCACCCAGGATTCGGCTCTGCATTCGGAAAAGGTTCAATCAAGGGGGGCCCCTCCCCCAGAAAAAAGAACTTTGTCCAGGAAAATCGAGCACAGGCCAAACCCCAGGGTGGCGGGCCCACGGCGCCAAAAGGAAAAACTGAACCAGCGAAGAGCGCGCGAGCCCCACTGATGGAAGCCAGCGTGGCCTTCACAAATCCAACCTGGCTTACTCAAGGATACTTGGCATCCGAAAGCACACTCTGACTAGTAACAAGGGCATCGCTACTAGGAGCAAGGACGCTACTAGGAGCTCCTGGCCTTCCTACTAGGAACAAGAAGCTACTCGTAACAAGGGCGACTCTGACTATACCAACCGGCCACGAGTCGGCTCCAAAGACCGGAAGAGTACACCGGAAGAGCACAAAAGCGATTTCATGACATCATCCAGGCACCAACAACACCTGCAGTGTCACACAGCTCATCGTCCAAATACCAGACGGTATGGAAAGTACGGACTGACGGACTGTGACTGTTGAGTCAGGCTTAGCCTGCCCCCATCACATATCTTCGACAGTGACAGTCAAACGCGTTGAAGACAGTCATGTCACTGTTTGGGTCTTGCCAAAAAAAACGCAAGGCACGGAGTGATTTTAAAATCACTCCACCCCGGAAGAAGCGTTTGGAAATTGGGGCACTGAGTCAACCCATCAGTCAAATCAACCCATCACAATGACTTTCCAGTATGAAATGGAGCATTCGCTGTACAAAATCAATGTCCAAACCTTCTCATCCTGAGTCCTGACCCTCAAAAAGGACATAAAAAGGGTCCAATCCGGTGTGAAACACCATGTTTGGAAGAATCTGATAGAAATTTCACCATGCTGTGGTTTACATGGTGACAGTCGCCATGTTTATCAGTCCTTCACCACATTTTCGGGCTGGTTTCCACACCATTGATTGACTCCACCTGACTCCGATCCCCATCCCGCAAGCGCGGCACGATCAAGCGCACCTGCTGCGCCGCAGGTGTCGGGATTATTGTCCGATCCTGGGCGTCCCGTCGAGGGTGGATGACACGGCAGTTGGGGGTTTACTGCTGGGGATTCAGTACACAAGGTTCACTAGTAGAAACAAGTGCCACGCTAGTAGTAACAGGTGCCTTACTAGTAGTAACAAGAAGCTATTCTTTAATTCAAAATACACATAAATCGAAGCATGGTGACTGTAGCAATCAAACAAATAAAGATAAGGTGTATGATCCAAAGGCGATTGAGCAAATGAATTTCACATGCTGGTTAACTCACACCTGTAATTATATAAGACCACCACAGCTTTCTCTGCTCCTAGGACCGCCCGGCAATCCGTAAACGCCCCGCCACCTGTAGTTCCAGATGGCTGAAAGTCCCCTGACTAGAGATAAATCATGCAGCCATGCGGTCTGTTCTCCTTTCAGCTTTGTTAAAACCTCTCGTTTTCTCTCTCTAGTTCGAGTCTGCTATGGAAAAAGGAGAATGAAGAGTTCGACACCACACCAAAAGCTCCTGCCACATGTTGCTTCGGCGGGCTTGTGCAGTTGATATTCAATAATATTCATCCAAAGCACAAAAAGAAGGTCCTTCCGTTTGAATACATCCACATCTCCCATTCCCAGTTGAGGTGACATGTCGCATGGTCCACCCCTTTCAAAACCCCCACAACCACTCCCGCCCAATGCAGAAAATCTCTCAAGCCCAACCCCCTTCGCACTTCCCCAGACACGGACCACTTCCTCGCTCTTCCCTGGCTGCCGAGGCGCCGGTGGCTGTCTTTGACGCCGAGCTCGGATCTCACCAGGCAGTTCAGCTCCACAGCCTGAGTTGCGCGGAAGCGAAGAGACGTGCCGTGCTGCGCGCCCATCGCGCAGAGACGGGAAAGGCAAGAAGAGTTGGTGGGTGCGTTGATGTTCCGAAGATGTACAGGGGTGCAAGCAAACCACAAACTAAATAACTAAACCTATCCCCGTACAAGCCGCCCAAGCAGAAAAAAACGCCACTCTCTGTGCCGCAGTCGCCTTTCTTCCTTGAGGCGATGGCCTCCACCCTAAGAGCGATGGCCTTCACATGCAATCCTTCCAAGGCAGCTAGCGCAGCCTCCTAATGGTGTTGTCCGTCGGTTTGGTCTGTAGAAGCCTCGTAATTGCCACCCGGCTCGCCACAGAGAAAACAATGGAGCTCCCACCCAGCATCCAAGAAGAACTATGTCTCCTACTTCAAACAAAAACGTTTGCATCAGCTGCTACACTTCTGTTGAATTTCTCTTCCCAGACTGTGAACCAAACTATATTGTTCATGGCGTAAGCTGCCCATGTCCCAAGGCTGAGGGTCCGACGTCCAAGACTTTGCTCATGGCCTTTTCGAGCAAAAAAAACAAAGGGCACGCTCCAACTTGCTCACGGGGAAGTGGACAATTTGCCCTTATAAAAAAATGATTTTTTCTGTGGAGGGCTGGAGCTAGAAACACGATGAACTTCGACCAACCAGGGTGTCTTTCAGCTTCATGGATTCTTTGTCCCAATCCCACAAATAAAGCCATGAATCGACAGAAACATGTGAGTGAGTCATGTGCAGCAAAAATCAATAGAAAGTCCGACTTCACTCCACAGTTTTGCATGTTGTGTATATATATATACAGTATATGTAATATCTATACTGTTTGGAATTACACCAGCATAGACCCAGATAGCTAGGCAGAATCCCACGACCTGTTGACATGCGACTGGCTGGAACAAGAATGTACGCAGCCTGCACAGCCAGCTTACGGCACCTCCACAGCGCGCACATTCAGCTGACACCAGCACCGGTGCGCTTTGCCAGCTGACAACACCGGCAGCAGCGCCAGCACCCGACCAGTGCCGCCGCCCGTCTTAAACGCGCGCCCAGCCAGCTCTGTCTCCACCACGTGCACAGCCAGCTCACAGCACCAGCACCGGCACCCGGCACCCAGCACCAGCACCGGCACCCGGCACCAGCACCAGCAACCTGTCTCCACCACGTGCACAGCCAGCTCGCACTGGCAGCACCAGCACCCTGTCTCCACCACGTGCACAGCCAGCTCACAGCACCAGCACCGGCACCCAGCACCAGCACCAGCAACCTGTCTCCACCACGTGCACAGCCAGCTAGCACCAGCACCGGCACCCAGCACCAGCAACCTGTCTCGAAAGCGCGCACGGGCAACTCATTGTTATTTGAAGTAAGAACCCCATAGCTTCGCTATCTGGGGAAAAACAGCAAGCCGATCATGCGAGAGGCACTCCTTCCATGATGGTATTCTTGCTATAATTAGGACAAGTTCCCACAGCTGTTGGTCAAGTACGATTCTGCAGATTCCCAAATACCAGGCCCATATCTCGGAAAAAGAAGCAAGCTGCTGATGCGACGGCACAAAAGTAGCAAATCAATACAGCTTCTCATGTGTAATGGGTCTGGTGCTATGTATGTAGGCTTGATCGATCAAAGTATCCAGAAAACCTGTTTCAATCCTGAGCCAGTTTCAGTGCATGTATGCATAGAAACTTCCGTGTATACATGCTGCATGTTGAAAAACACTTCCTTCAAACGCCCACCTCAAACTGTTTGCAGGTGGTGGTATCCTCATATGCATCGGTGATGTTGAGGCTGCCATCGGAGTTCACATTCCTGGCGCCCAACAGCGGAATCACATCCTGACGATGCGACATGTTCAGGCAAAGGTCGACGAGAAAGGATCTTCCGCCACCGTTTTCGATCAGATATGTGTTTGACCTTTGCCTTGTTTCCAGTCGGGTGTACTGGATTTGGAGGAATGTATATACCATTAGTTGCCATCAAAACCTTCTGTGGAAAGGGCGCAGCATCTGACCTTTCGGCGCATCCACAAGTCCGAATACTGGTCCGCAGGGTCCCTCTTGTCCCGCCTGATTTGCTGAACTGGTTGGCTCTGGATATTTGGGTTTGAAGGACCGTCTCACTGCGGATGAGATCTCTTTTCTTCATTCTGATCCACAACTTGAAAGCATCCAAGACGATTCACAGCCCAGGTCGAAAAAGGTGAGAAAGGTCTGAAAAAGTGGCTCGCCACCGCCTGATCCACCAGGTTGAAGATTCCTTGACCCACCGAGCCGGCTCGGTCCCTCTCTCGCTGAGTCGCCATTTGAACTCCCTCTTGGAGTTCAAGAGCTTGCTGATGGTCTCACCTTGGAAGCATCCGGTCAGGGATGATGGGTCGCCATGTTTTCTTCCCATCACCTAAAACTCGTGAGAATCCCAGTCTCTTTGTACCGCCCGCTCATCGGGAACAGAGGGGGCCAATGCATCTACAGACCCTCATATAGACTCAATAAACAACCTGGGCTCATTACACAATCGCTGATGACAAGGCGTAACCTGAGCTTCGTGCGATCTCGAAGAGGAATCTCTCCTTTGAGGACAATGCTGCCTCAGACGCGTCATCAAAAAACGTTCATTGTGTGTCCTTTGCTTGAGATTATATAAGAGAAATCTGGTGATTCACTTTGTTGGAAATGGTCGGCTCGTGTACTCAATCTGCTCTTGTTACAAATATGTGACACATGAACTTCCCTTTATCTATCTGGTAGCCTTGTTGCTTGCCTTGAAACTAGAGAACCACACATGAAATCCTGCACCATTAGACACAGAATTGGTTCCGGTGGTTTTCCACGGCATGCCGCTCATTCGCATGTCCCATTTAGATCTGATACAAACGAAAGAACTTGTTCGGGGCCTTCCCACACAGCTTTAGAGGTCTAGTCAAATGCCATTAAACACAATCTCATTTGCGTTTCGGTACAAGGGCTTGATTACCTTGGCTTGAAGGCCTCTTTCCACCACCATGTTGAAGCTTGACCCTAGGTTGGCGGGTGGAGCTGTATCGCAATGCACCTCAGGGCTCCTGGCCAACACCCTGATAGACGGCCTCCTTCAAGTCGCGATCCTCGCAGTGACAGGCTTAGGCAAATGGCCGACATTGAATATTTGCAGCAATCACAGTGTTCTGATTATATAGTCCCTAGTTCCAAGGGTTGAACAAATATGATTGCTTGAACACCCCAGTATCGCTCACTGTCCTGCAGAGCTTTCACAAATTTTGTAGTGTCAGTATGTCAGACCCCAATCTGATCTGGACCAAGCCCACTCTTGGCATCATCTTCAACTTCTTTCGGAGCATTTTGTGGCCCCACCTTTGTTGAGGTTACACGGTCACATCCACAATGTGAGGAGTTGCAGGACATACCACTGCTCACAGGGGGTTGAGAAGATCATTCTCGCAGAGACACGGAAACGCTCTTTGAAAACCGGCTCTGGTCTTATTCCTTACAGGAACAACCTTATTACCGGAGATTTGGGACTGCAGCACAAAGGTTTTTTCAGGGACTGTAATCTAGTCACGGGCAAGAGCCTTTGGCTTGCATAAGAGCAAAAAGAATGGGTTGGAACCGAATGTCCAGCCGAGGATTCGGAAAGTCGGGCCTCAGCTGACTTGACTCTCGCCTCATGGCTACTTTGAGCAGAAAAGAACAAATGGACTCCAGCAGAGTACCTTCCCCCTGAAAACGTACTAGCCAGTTCACTCCGGCGTCTCTGCCCCGCTCTGCTAAGCGCGACCCCGTCACTGAGAGAAGAAGCGCACATTTTGATCACAGGTCCCATCGCCGAAGTGCAGAAATACAGCTGCCAACGTTTAAAAAAAACGAACAAATGCCTCAATCCACATGTCTACATAACTGGTATATGGGTCATAATGATTGGTGCGGATCAATATGATAATGCAAACACCATTCGACTTTTCCCTCCAACACGACACGAGAGCAGCGGTCATTGTTGATGGTGTACTTTTGGTCATTGTAGATGCCTCAGAAAAACATGCAAAAACCTTTGAAGCCAATGTCGATCAGTTTCGCCATTCTATGTGGTCCATCACAATACAACGGCCATGTAGACTGTACCGGGGCGCTTGTATGCAGCTGATGGTCAAGACGCTCAGGTCCCACTAGTCACACTCTATGTTCAAACAGAGGTGGAGTCAAGCCGAATTCAAGGAAACAAGACGTCACATCTCCTGGATACGTAGATGGCATTGATGTGTTGTGTTGTTGGACACGTTTGCCTAGAATCAGAAACAAGGTTGATGGTTGACGTTGAAGACACAAAGGGTGGCAATTTATAGCCAAACGGGAGTCAATATGCATGTCAACAACGGGCCATACATTGCATTAAGAGGAAAATGTGCTTGATCTTTGTCCAGCATCTGAGTCCAAGGAGAAATAGTAGGAATCTCCTCGCAGTGTGGGAGAGGCTTTGCTTCGTTGCTCGTGCCCGCTATCAAGGTAAATTGACTATTGGAAATTGGACGACAGTATGAAAACTGTCTCTGACTAAGTTCTGGACTAGGACTCTCAGTGAAGAATAGGTTGAGAGCCTCAAGTGCCAGGGCCAGGTCTGTCTGCCGCATGACCCAGTGTCTACCAATGACAATGAATTAAAGGAATGGGCTTTGGTGGATTTCGCGCATTGGCATTTGTTCAGGGCGTACAGGTATACAAAGGCTGTCCAGATTCTGTGTTCAATCAAACTCCACAAGTCCAAACCAACAAGAAAATACAATTATATTACAGGGCAATACCCTGGGGATCCTTGCCACAGTTGTGAAAGGGGTCCATCATCATCTGGGTGGTTGAGGGGTACTTCTCTTGCCCAATAGTCTCATTGAATTTGGGCAAGTCTGGTCAGTATCGACAAGTCTCACACCCAGAATGGAGAGTTCTGAAAATTCAAAAAACTGATATGTTGAATGAAAGAGGGAATGGATGTTTTTATAGGAGCATTCCTAGTTTTTGCAAGGCTCACGACTCACAACATGTAGTCTGGCCTGATTGAAGTGTCCATTGCCCAGCGATGTGTAGAGCTCCTGGTAGATCACTCAAAGAGATGATCTGCACATGTGAAGTCAGGGTCAGGGGCCTCTATTTTCCTGATGCCATATCCTCTCCCACAACGGAGTCTTCATTGACACAAAACTTGGGACCTTGATGACGTTGATCCTCCTTATCTCGCAAATGGACCAAAACTGGCCTTCTTCGCGAAAAGCCGCTCATAGTGCTCCTGTGATCAGCGCCCATAATAGGAAAGGAGGAAAGGAGGTTGAGACAAGCTGGGGCAAATTTGAACAAAAAAGTTCTTCTTCCACTACAGGTCTTGAAAGAAATCACGTTCCCTGTGCCATCAGCCCTTCATCGGAGTCGGAGTAGCTTGGTCCCTGCCAATTGCCTTATTGAGATGTGTGACCTGAGACCATATGGCTCCAAATTAAAGTATATAAATCATCTGTGAAGGTCGAAGCATTTGGGGTGGGAGTCATGGTACCATGAAGACATGGGGGATGGATGCGCATCCTTAATGAGCTAGTGTCCCTGTGGCCCCCATACCGCAAGAAAAATGTCCTCAACATTGATAAACTGATCCAGCAAAAAAGAAAAACTGCAGATCGGGTTTGTGGATGCATCTTCTCCCCCAATCCTCTCTCTCTCTCTCTGTTTTTCTATCTCTTTTTCTCCTTGGGTGCAAAGCCCTTCTCATCGGCCAGCTTGGAGCGCCAGTTTCTCGGAAACCGGTCGGGGCAGGCGGAGGCCAACGTGACCAAACGTTTCTCCACCCTTTTGACGACATGTCAAACACTTCAATTGGATGTCTCAAGGTACCTTGAACAGAGTGGTTCTTGATCCAAAGTGGAGACTTACAGTGAGGGGCTTCCTAAAGGAGTCACAGTTTTGGGTCGATGATCTTCTTGCGGGTCATGATTGTCCAGGATTTTTGACCCACACCCAAGGACCTGCGTTACCCTCCACACAACAAAGCTCAGAAGGGAGAGGATGAAAGCAAACCCATTTCTAGGCCAGCGCTCTGAGGTGAAAGGTGGCCACCATAGCGGCCAAGGGCAAAGCCGTGCGAATGTGAGACACACCCGCGTGGAATGAATCACCTGAGTAATAACAATACTGTGGAGTCTCCACTATTGTACGACATGTCTACACTAGAGTCGAGGGTCAAGTGCCATTCAACCTCCTCTATACAGTACTACATGAGAAGCTGCTCCACAACCGAAACAGTCAGGACCCCCAAAAAAAGAACCACGATGGTCTAGCCAAGTCCCTTTTCTCCTCCTCTCATTGCGTTTCTTCTCTTGGTCTCCCCCGTTCCCCTCCAACCTAAGAGAAAGACACCACCGAGATATATCCCAACAAAAAAACTAAAATATTGTGAAAAAAAACAAGTCAAAAAGAGCGCAACAAGTTAAATGTGTCCACCATGATGTCGCCATGGCTTTTGCCCAGTTCCCCCCGCATGGCTTCTGTTCATTCCTTTCTTCCCTTCTCTTCGAGTCTATGTCTTTTGAGTAGTGCTTCCTGCTCCAGCCCAAACATACTTAAACAATCTTAAACAACACATGCTCTCACTTCCTGTTTCCTTCTCTCTCCTCCGTCATGATGCAGCAACGCTGACACTGCACCGCCCGCGTCACTCTGACAATACTCATATGTTCAACCATGTCCTCCCACCCTTCTCTCATTACCAGTTTAATAGAGCCATCCACTGGGTCCGGAGAAGTCCGTTTCTCCAGGGCCAAACGACGACGTTTCTCCTCCTTTTTGCCCTTCGAAGCCCATCGGGCGAGCGGAGAATCCAAAGCCCATCAGCGGTCTTTCCTCGCTCGATCCAGCCAGGAGACTCGATGGACTTGCGACCCAGCTCGCTGTCTGACGACTCGCACCTGAGGCAGCTGTTTTGGGCGGCAGCAGCATGGGGTGCCCCAAATGTCATGGGAGGGAGCGAGAAAAAAAAGGATAGTAAGCGGATAGTAAGCTTTATTGTTACTAGTAAAACTGGCCTCCAACCTAATAGCGATGGCCTCCACCTAGTAGTGTCTTGCTAAAATTTGGGGTCAATGATCTTTTCAGTGATCCAAGAATCCTCTTTAGAACACTTCAAGCAGGCTGCTTTACTGGCTTCCAGTCCCACACAGTTCCGGCTAGCAACATGTTCACAAAATACAGCTGCTTGCTCGGGGCAAAAGAAAAAAGAGTGTCATACGCCCTAGACTTAGACGAGGGCAATAAAACTCTCTTCAAGCACCTCCGGCTCTGCCATGGATCAGGTCACCCACACGTAGCGCCAGCCCCAGAAAGGCCACACATGTCTGTCAAAGACAACTGGACACGAATGAGGTTGAAAGGCCACACCTTCCTTAAGACATCTCTGTGCCTGAATCAACTTCGCTTCGTTCATTTCTTCTAGTAACAAGTGCCTTACTAGTAGTAACAAGAAGCAAACGTAGAATTAAATTTAACATAAAAATAAATTAATAGCTTCTTTGTTACTACTAGCGTGGCACTTGTTACTAGAAGCGAGGCACCTGTTACTACTAGCGTGGCACTTGTTACTACTAGCGACCCACAAGTTTCCCGACACATCGGAACCGGTCAGCCCGGCTCTAATCCCTCTCTGTCGCTCTCGACTCTCTCTGGGCTGCCCAGCACCAGCACAGGGATGTCATGGCCTTCGTTGCCCTTCCTCTTCTGGAAACCTCCCGGCAAACCAATCATTGGCTTCAAGAATCCTGCCACCACTAATACTCGTACCATCACTGGGCACGTATTGAATCTTCTGGAGGTCAGCACTTCCGTTTGAAGCCACGGAGCAGCCACCCAGGTTGGATCGGACGGGCCATCCAGACGGGTCCTCCGACCCGGTCGCAGTTCCCACTATGACCCTTGGACCCTTGGTGCGAAGCTACAACTTGATACATGTTAATCGTCCAGCGTGCAAAGTAGATGGATTTTGCAACTAGATTTTGTCTTGTATGCTGATTTTGCACAGAAAGCTAGGTCTTCAAGTAATTCCAATATCTTCGTATCCACCTTTTTTGTGGCCTTTCTCTTTGAAGCTTGTAGCCAAGTAGTGCACGTGCTCCACGGAAAGTCCAGTGTGACCTGGGTGAGGCCGGTTGGCATTTACAAACCCCCAGCGATGCGAAAATCTACATTGATAGGGGGTTGAAGTGAGTAGTCACCGAGGGTCTCTGAGCAGTCATCGAGGCTGTTTGAAGGTCTTTGACGCCGACACTCTTTCCGATGGTGCTTCTCCTAAGAGACGATCCCAGTTGGAAAGCCCCCTTGCGCAGTAACAGAGCAAGTCGAGAAGGTGGAAAACCAAAGTTACTGGCAACGTGCTAAGTAAAGTACTAATGCGAGGAGATGAGTGCACAACTAGCGAGCGCAATTCGCTGTTCCTTTCACCGAAAAGACAATAATTTAAGAAGTTGTCAGCAGTTCAGCCTTGGATGCATTGTTCCCATCTCGTGCCACATGACCTGGATGACCATCACCTGCCTGTCCCTAGCAACAGACCACTGCCTACCTCACAAGTGCTTGGACCCAGACGGTAGACTTATATATATATATGTATACATATGTATATATATATATGATATATGTATATATATATATATATAAATGCTGTCTCATCTCTCACAATTCTGATCAGACTGCTTGACCTTCGCATCTGCAGCTGCTAACTGGGCCCCTCCAATCAATGATTTTGTGTTTGTGTACAGCGTTCGTGGGCGACTACCAATGGAAAAGGATGTCGCGTCAACACATCAAAACCCCCCTCAACTGTAACTGTCTTCGACCCCTTCACGATTCCACGCGAAGAGAGACATCACTTTCAGGAGACATCAGCGCCAGCCAAGGGACCACGGTTGCTGAAGTCCGGGATAACTTTTCGAGGAGGCACCTGGTAGCTTACACAGATTGGACAGGACAAGACCTTCCCGACACTTTTGGGGACAGGGACTGCAGATGTTTGTTCCCCGACGCAGGGTAGATGAAGATCATGTTCAAAAACCACACGAGGAGCCACCGTAGGATCTGTGGTTGACACATGGGTTTGTCTCAAACTTGGGGAGCCTGCTCCTGGCGCCTGGTGGTGGGAAGGGCTTTGCAAAACCCTCTAGCGACAGACATCCCATGGCCAAACCAGCATGCGACCAGCATGACAAATACTACTCGCTTGATCAATGGGTATTGTAGGCGAATGAAAAAAGAACACTGCAGTGACCCCGCTTGCACAACTGCATTGCAGGCTTGAATATACCAGTTATCCTGCAGTCAGTCTTAGGCTGTAGAACCAGGGAGAAAAAACAATTGAGGAAAGGATAATCGCGTAATCAGATAAACCGAGGGACATTCACAAGCTCTAGAAAACAGTGGCCCTCAAGAGAGCATGACAAAGCTTGGGGAATGTGCAGCAACCATCATAAGTTCAGAGGGTCCTTGTTTAGCTGCGCCTTGCAAAACCCGCAGAACTTGTTGTGAAGTGATGTTTCAGTTCACTTATGCGTCCGGCATTGTAGCCAGTCTTCTTCTGCCATACCACGCTACGGTCTCACGCAAAACCAAGAATGTTGCCCTCCCAATTCTCCGTGACTCTTGCCGACTCACTGCCGCCGATCTGGGGGTGATTTGCGCCATTTCAGGTATATATTTATGTCCTGTGCACAAAGGCACCACAGGAGAGTGAGTCTTCAAACTCCCCTCATTTTTGAGACAAACCCCTTGGTAAATCTCTGCAGTTTGATTCCACCTGGCTGACACCATCGATGCGCCACTTGGAAATAAGGTCGTTGAGCAGCTTCAGCTCGGCCTTGTTGGAAAATGTGGACTGGATCGGGATATGTGTCAACTGACTGTGAACCATGGCTTCTCTGAAATGAGGGTGAGGGTTTGAGGGCTGCTGGTGTGTTGTCTGGGACTGTCTTTGGACATCAGTGTTTTCAGCAGCCCATCAGTGGCCATACCTTGTCCTTGTCTTCGTTGTCTTCCACCTCAGCAAACATCATGTTAATCTATGCGGGCACTCTTCCTCTTCTGTTGTAATACTCACAATACTGACAAAGCAGTTAAAGCTCTTTGATGAAAATCAGGATGCTGGCGCTCACAAAACCCTCTGATGAACCCGCTTGGGTCATTGATGACTTGGAGTCCTTCGTGACTCTTGGAGCGCCCAAGGCGAGGGCCAACTTTGCATGTGCATCAGAGGTGCCGGGGCAGCAGCCCTGCCGGAAGAGAGGCTGCTAAGCGACCAAGCGGTAAAGAAACCACTCAAATATACTGAGAGTCGAAATTGGTGCTTGCTAAAATAGAAAGACCCTCCACATCTGTTTTGGTCTAGTTTCCTGCTATCGGGGGGGGTCCCAGCCCTACGAGGCATCAAAGCTGGAATAAGAGCCTTCTTTCATTCTAGGATTGCTTTGTGATGGTTGATGAAGTAGAAAAGACGTTCATCAACTTGGTAGTCCAAAGAGCCACTTCGGGGTGCTTTGTGCAAAAAGGATTGCAAAGCGCGGCTTTCAGTTTCATCGCCTCCAAAATGTGCGCTGAGGTTCTGGTTCCCTCATTGAGTCTAATGACTTTGATTCATGCCTCACTAAGGGTGCCAACCAAATACTGTATCTTCAGCACACAACATCTCTGTCCCTTTCTGACCCTTTCCCCCGCCCTGCTGTTTTCATCTTCGATGTTTATTTCGGTGTCCGGAGTGACCAGTGTATAGCTTCCAAGAAAGCTCTCGTTTGCGACCCCCGTTTGGGGACGTTTAGCGACAGGCGCTTACACTTGGATGAGATAATAAACTCCTTGCGAAAAAAGTGTTCATGGTTGTCCAAACCAGTCCACCCAAGGTCTGAGTTCGGCTTCAAGACGATGGCCAGCCGATACCACGCTTAGCAAGAGGTTTTCCTGGAGACACGCAGCAAACGTGTCTACTGTCTTACTGCAAAGCACCCAGCTTTCCAACTCTGTCTCCCTCAAACATAAAGTTCGGGCCCCTGAAGGCACAGCTTCCCTTGACTTCTGGCCCTTCGGTACAGCCTCAACACCACGGTTCAAAGGATTGCTGGAAGAGCCTTCGCGGAGAGACGGTCCATAAGTCCACAAGCAAGGAAGGATGATTCAGAAGAAAAAATGAAAAAAAAAAAAACACCCCTCGGGATAAAACCACAATCCTGATCGACAACCTTTGTGTGAGAAATCAAATGCTATGACAGAAACAGGCCAGGCCAGGAGGACATCTTGGACAATGTTGGGATGGTCTGTAGCATGCAAAATCAAGACCAGCCAAAAGGGTTCGCATTGTCAAATGATAGGTCAATTTGTATCCACTCACTAGTTCCACCGACCTCTCAATCACCATACTTCTTCTATATACTTCTTCTATGGTAGGTGTTCGAGCTTGGATTAATGGCAGAGAAGACCTCCCTCGCTCAAACTCATCCAACTCGTCGAACTCATCCGACTTGTCCAAGTCGCAGTCGGATGTGATCTGGGCATCTGATCCTCTGCCCTTCCCTCAGGTCTTTGGCCCATGCGCCTGCATAGCCAAGACCCTTCATCTGCTCAGTCCAAGCCTCCATTCGCTCGGAGGATGCCTGCACGCAGAAACTGGCGGCGCACATGGTGACACACGCCAACTTGTAGTGCCAACTTCCGGCCCCCAGAGAAAGCCATAAATCACTATTTTATTTTGGCTCTCTTGGTACACTTTCTGTCCCAGCCATCGTAGTCCACAAAAGTGAAGGGTGTACCCATAGTAAAAGCACACCAATGCTTGCATTTGGAAGTCACGGCTGAACAAATAGAAACCCTGTTTCTTTTCTTAGAGTGGTCGAGCCTTTTAGGCCCATCGGGACTCCACCCACGGCGGAATGTCGGTCGGTGGGTTTCGGTCGGCGTCGCTGCTCAACGGCGTTTTTGAGAAAGAGATGGTGAAAGCAAAAGGAAAACTCCTCAAAGATAAAGCCGAAAGCTGCCTGGTATGGATTTCACTTATCTCATCTGACCGCTCATGTTGAGGACTGTTGATTGATGAACCCCCGTTAGATGGAGATCCCATGAGATCCCTGTTTCTCTCAACATCCTGGTTGTTGATCTTGCCAATTGCTTCAAATCAACTTATATATTTGGAAGCTGATTTCTGAATCCCCCCAGAATGCTGTTAGTCTGCCGAAGAAATTCCAAAACCAACAACAAACCCTACCTCCCTCGAACGTGAGTGTAAGTGGCGAATTCTGTTCATGTTTCAAGTCGTCGTGAAGGGTAGGTTTGACCGACATCCATGAAAACGAAATATTGCTGAAATGCAGCTCCCTTACCAACATCCTTTTGCGTTGCTCTACAAAAACCTTCAAACCGGGTCCGTTCCGTTCGACTTGTTCCCTTTTCTACCAGCCGTGGACGAAGGCGGAGCCAAACCCACCTTGGTCCAAATGACTGACCGAGCATGCTGCATCACCTGACCGCATCCACAGACGTGAACTCGCCACGCGAACTACAGAGCTTGAGCCTTCAGAAACCCTACAAACCCTACCGGGCCCTACCGTCAGGTCTTTTTGCCTCACAACCAGCTCAGCTTTATTTTGGAGTCCATGAGTGCACACCCCAAAATCAAAGGGGCAGTACAGCAATGAAAACAAAGCAAAAAGCAATCTTGGCATTTGGCATTCCGAGAAAACGCTCGTCTGACTAATTTCAACTCTATATAACTGCCCATCTTGTCATGGTCAGACCGCAAATAGCAAGAACTCTACTTTATGCCAAAGAGGGTAGCCCGCCGGTGCAGCAGCCGCAGGGGTCCTGCCTCTTTGCTTGGGGCTTCCTTGAATTCCACACGCTCGTCTTCCAACCTTAGGGGAACAGGCAGAAGCAGCAAGAGCAAAGCGCCTTTTTCCGCAAACATATGAGGAGCATATCTAGATGAGATGATCCTCACATGGCCCTCGTCGTTGTACGGATTGCAGATTCATATAAACATGAAATCACACAGACTTTGAATGTCGACGAAACGATTTTCCGAGCCCTCCAAGATCAGAGATGTAAGCTCTTTCACAACTAAAACTTCTGCCTGTACGCGCAAGCTTTTGAATTTGAAGGACTCGACGAAAACTCACTCTCCTGCAGAAAGCCTTGAATGAATTCAACAACATCAAACACTGTCTCAACTCAACCTGCCACGTGCCAAGGGTTTTTGCACCTGGCCTGCACCTGATCAAGCGGGTCAATGCGGCAATGGAAACTTCACTCGATCAGCCGACTGACCAAATGTGGGACACTTTCACTGCACCAAATGCCTGTTGGTCAGCGTGTTCTTCGAGAGTCCGCAAACAGCAAAACCCCTCCGTTCACTTGAAGGGGAGCCCTTAAATGACTATGTCTCGTAAAAGACTTTGCAAGTTGCTCCGAGTGCCCAGCATTCCCGCTGGTCTTCCCAGAAAGACGTCTTGTCCATCGAAAGCCAACGCTCTTTGGGCTCGCACCAACCGTTCAGCTGCCAGATCTTGCCCACACTGCTCACCTTGTTTTGTGGCTACAGTGATTCAAAGTCTAGCCTAATGTCGGTACCCGCTACTCCATGCACTCCGGATTGAGCTCAATAAAAGGACAATCCCATCATTACCATGCATCGTCTCTTGCTTGCATCGTCCGTGTGTAGTGAGCAAACCTGGAGGGTTCCAACTATTTGAGGTCTCTTGCTTGTCCTTGCTTGTCCATCACCGGAACCTTCTACGCGGGCTTCTACGGCAGGTCCGCCCGCTCAGACTCGCTGGGGCATCCGAACAGTGCCATCCTCGTTCAAGGTGATGGGGTGCGCCTTCATGACCAAACCATTCAGTGAAACCTGCCGAAAAGGAGAAGGCAACGAAACACAACAAGCTGTAGAGAGCAAGAGAGTATGAGTGAGTGAGGTGCTTCAGTTGTCAGCCGTCGAGAAAGCCTTCTGTGCGTCTACACCAAACAACCTGCCACCAACCCCCGCCTGCGTTCCATTCACTATGATCTTTGCACCCATGCTGTTCACCCAGTCGCCCTGGGTCTGCTACAAATGAATGGAGACATCGAGATGAAATGCAGACGTTTGAAGCAGACCAATGATCGCTGCCATACTGAATGCAGTTCTAAGTTCAATATTCCATGAGACAGATCGAGATGTCGACGCGAGCATGTGGCTCTTGGAACTTGTGGTTCATGGAATACCCGATACCCATTGCAGTTCACAACGTTCATGTCGAGCAAGAGTATCGCCTAAAGAGTATGGCCCGGCACATCCACATGTATTCCAAAGCAATTGATGAAAAACTTTTGGACAACAGCCGGAACATCTGAGTCTGCATCAGCTGAGGAGACAATAATCCCCAAGCAAGGCGAAGTGATCACAAGACCAAGGCGACCACGGTCACGGTTGTATTCGGAAACTCGACGGTTGTATTCGGAAACTAGACGGTTGTATTCGGAAACTAGTATTCGGAAACTGAGACGGCTGTATTCGGAAACTCCACGGTTGTATTCGGAAACTGGCCGCTTGGATTCGGAAACTCGACAATGCCACCTGCCTCAACAATGCACGGAAGCTTACTGCCCCAGCCCCACCCCAGCATTGGTCCCCACAACCATCTACGGAAGCTTACTGCCCCAGCCCCACCCCCCACCCCACCCTGAATGCAAGAGAACGCATCAACTGACCACGCAGGTGGTTGTTCACGTCGCCCCCTAGTTTGGTAATAAAAGTTTCTGAGCATGAGGGACAGTAGTTTCTGAATACGACGAAAATAGTTTCTGAATACGACGAAAATAGTTTCTGAATACGACGAAATAGTTTCTGAATACGACGAAATAGTTTCTGAATATGACGAAATAGTTTCTGAATACAACGAAATAGTTTCTGAATACAACGAAATAGTTTCTGAAGACCAGTTTCTGAATACAGTGCAGTTTCTGAATCCGACTTTGTTCAGGCGACCACCTTCTGATGTATTCAAAAAAAATAGAAAGAACGGATGCATTACTCATCCAAACTAAAAGCTTCGTATTCAGCCAATCTGTGGCTGCCGATGCGTAACTCTCCGCCACAGAGTATCCACCCACAGCTCCGGTCGACCCTGAAGGCACTCTGGTCGACCATTCTTCCGCTTTTGGTCGACAGCACCGCCCACGGTGTCGAGCTCGGAAAGCGAAGGACACAGCTCTACGCGCCCGCACCTGCAGTGTCTCCAAGGTGATGGGCGTGGTCGGTGCTGGCTTAGGCGGTGCCGGTGGGGCCACGGTAGTCGGAGCTTCTTCCACCTTTGGCTCCTGGTATCAGTGCTGTTGGTCACAAAAGCCTGCCAAAAAAACCTTTTTTGCTGGTCACGTGGCATCCAACTTTTGGAATCCACGCGACCATGCCGGCGCCTTTAAACACCTCTCCATGTTACCTTGTATAATGCCGCGCTTGGCACTAATGCATCGTCCCATCGCAGTTGAGTCACTTTCATAACTTGATGCCGGACCATACCATAGGGTTCGGATGAGAGGACACGTGCAGCGCAGGCTTGTTGTGCCAGTTTAGCTACTGATGTCCTAGACTCAGCTACTGATGTCTTAAACCGGAAAAAATGAATAGAAATCTTATTTTGATCGGGGACTTCTAGAGTGGTTTGTTTGTGATAGTCCAGCAAGAACGCACAGGTACCTGATGAAAGAGTCCCACTGGAGTTTCATCGATATACCTCAGGCCTTTGGGTCTTGAAGATTTCAAAGCTACTTCACTGTCGGCCACGCCCCACCACCCGTCACCAAGCCCAAGTCCTCCTCCACATGGGAGTCGTGCTCAGAAATGGCCGAAACGGCAGTGGGGCTCTCTTCCCTGGATGGTTGCTCCTTGAGGTGCCAAAGATTCGAGCACGGCTTGGTGAAAAACACAAGCACTTGTTTTTGGCTTGCAATAGAATCGCCATGTAGGCCAGTGCATTGAAGATTTCAGAAGGGTCAACTACCACCAATGGAAACCTTTACATCTTCATATCAAAAACCTAGAGCCTTTTATCGAAAACTCCACCAAAGCAGGAATATGTGACACATTCACATACATTCACCCAATACCCGTTTTGTCAAAGCGGTCTCCTCCGGAGCGACCGTGGAGGCCACTTCCTGCGGCAGCATGGATCATCGGATCATCAGATCCAGTCGACCAGAACAAGAGTATCAGCAATCAAAGTTTGAGCTACTACTGAACTTGACGGAGAGATAACTTTATCCGACAAGATAACTACTTAACTATTGATGTCTCTATCAAACGAATTCCGGCCCTGGCTTCCAAAGGCATGTGGAAAGTTTGGGACGAAGTGCTTACTTGAACTTTGGATTGAAATAACTACTAGCAAAAAATCTCAGAATGATCTCCAAGGTGTGATGTTTCGTTCAGAACCCTCGGGCTGAATCCTTTTTTTGCCCATGGCCCTGCCTTCTGAATTAAGTAGGCGCCTGCTTCAGTAAGTAAGGCAGTAGTTGGCTACTAGCAATAGGAAGCTACTATATATACAGACTATATTAAATGTTGTAGCTTTTGGTGAGTGACGACATACACCAAGATCGCACCAGGGAACCAGAAGTTGGACAAACCTAGCGGTGACCTAGCGACCTTTGCACTCGAACTCCAAGTGATTGGTTTTCTTTGCGTGTTCCAATCAACTCTTTCTTTGATGCTCACAAAGCCCCCTAAGGCCTTGGGATTGGGAACCATGCTCAGAAATTGGGCCAGTGGGATCCCCAGAACAGCAACCCATCCATGTCAGACATCGGCATGTCTCATCATTTGGCTGGCTAGAATGTCTTCTATCACATATAAATCAAAGATGAAATGTTGTCAAGCAAAACACTCAAACTGATTTCCCAGGGTTTCGAGTTAATCAAGAGATTCAATTGAGGGCAGCAAGTGCATCTGCTTCGTGTCTACATAGTGAGGTTGTTAGTCTGGCTCCGAAGTGGTTGGGACTCCTGATAACTTAGGTCAGGTCCATTCTTGAAAATACAAACGGCTGCAAGTGCTTCTACTCCAACCCTTCAGCTACAACCACCGTTGGCGTAGCATCTTTATCAGTTTGGCTTCCTCATTCTTCTGCGCAGGATAGTCATAGCCTCCAATCAGAGAGAGCGAAAGTTGAAATCCCAAGGTGTAAAATACAGTAGCAGCTAGAAGCACGTTCACCCGCAAGCATGGCACAAGGGATTTTGACCCGTCCATGGTCTGGGCGTATGGCGAGAAGTCATCGTGAAACTCACATGTTTTTGCTCCAATCAAGATGTTCTTGACTCCACTAATTTGCTGATGTGATGCATCGGGATCAGCAGTCTGATTTAACTCCACAAGTTGAAGTACTGTAATTTGTCTTTATTGACCCGGTCATGGTGCGAATGCAAAAAGCACAACTATGTCTGAATACACCCTTATGACCTGCAGTTCTTCCCCACCGTCAAAGAGCAAATAGAAAATGTGCCTTTTTTCATCACATCGTTTTGGTTTCCACGGCCACCTCCCTCACCGGTCGCCTGCGATGGAGCATTCCTGGACCTTTGGCATCTTTGGGGCGGTGCTCGCTTGCGATGCCGGACTGCAGATGCCTCTCCGCCAGTGCCGGACGCCTTCTGTGGACACCAAGGGAATTCACAAGTTGCTTCAAGAGTACCCCTTGGGATATAAAAATGTGGATCAATCCCATGCTATGGGGTTTGGTTGTGACCTTCAAACCAACGACAGTCTACGTTTGGCCTTGTTCGGGTCCAAAGGATCCGATCGGATGTCAGGAAAGGACCAGGCATGTTGCGACAAGCACTCATTGGCACAAACAATGTGTCCATTGCAAAGCCATGCTGGCTTTGTCGTGGCAATCAGTCAGTCAACAGTATACTATGTCTATATAGTATAGTATAGTACGTGTATGCACAGCCCTGCTTACAATGCGCTTCCAGAACAAGTGCACAACTACCCTTCCGGATTTTGGTAGGGAAAGCACACCCAAATGTTGGTACGGCAAATGGTCAAAGGGCCCATTTCGTGGATGCGATACCCCGGGTTCCATGCGGATGCGAATCGCGACAACTCAAGTGGGCTGGTTCCAGAGCCCCACGTCACCACGTGCTGTTTCCCCTGCCTGACGCACAAGCCCCCATGATTCCTGCAAGGAGGGGCCTAATCGACAGCAACATGCATTGCCAGCCTCCAATGTAAAACTCTTTGCTTGGGGTACAGTAACCCCTGACACCATTAGAGAGTGTACTGCCAGCATGTAAAAAAAAACATCTGGGGACCTGCAGGGTTCCAGCATCTGTGGGTGTGTGTGTGTGTGTACATGTGTGCAAAAATTCTGCAGTGGCAAAAATGGGTCCCAACCCTGATGTTGAAGATCTCAAGATGCATCCTGGATTTCAAAACATAAGAAGGAGATCCACAAACATCTTTCAACCCGCTCAGATTGGGGAAGCATCATGCTTCGCAGCCCCTCTGCAAAACCGTGAGACCCTCCCGTCAGCGCGCCTGCCAATCGGACAATGACAATCTTGCAACTCTCAACCAACTTGAGTTGGTAAAGGCTCGCTTGACATATTTGCTATCAAGAATTAAGAATACCTATGACGAGGTGGCGGTTTCGAGATTTCACATTCCAATGTTACATGAAACAACCTTTGGATTTTTGGATGCAGAACTGTTCATCTCTTTGCTGAAGAGAAACAAGTTCTTCAAGGTGGTAAGAAAGCAGGCAAACTTTCCCACATGGGTTAAATACTCCGTTCCGAGTCCAGACCTGCACGTTCCGACTTCCGACCCGAAATCAATTAAAGCTCCAACTGCCTCGCTTTTCTCGCACTGCTTGCAGGGTAGACAAAGTCTGAAAGCTCATCAGTGGTCGACCCATTTGCCTGAGGAGAACAATCATCAGAATCCATCAAAGAACAATCACTTGAACCTGTTCTCTGGTGGTGGATCTTCACAAAACCATTTCTTGACAAAGAATGATTAGATCCTTGAAGAGCGACAAATTGTCCCTTTTTTGCAGCCTGGACCAATCGTCCCATCCATTCAGAGGCTCATGCTGTGATCGTTGAGAAACCTGTGGAATGGCCCTTCTGGGCAGCAGTTCTAACACCAAGATGCCAAGGCACAAACAGAGCCCGCCATGTTGGTGTTCTTGCACATCTTGCGGCTTGTGGCAAGCTCGTTGCAGTACTTTTTGGCAGGCATGGTTTTTATTGATGCAGCCCAGGCCGCTGTTGCTTCGCAATGTCCAATTCTAGCTATATGGGTGAAGCCGCCTCCCTGGTAGCAGGGGACCACGGGTCACCAAATATAGGGGGTCAGGAGGGTATGGTGGCGGTACAAAAGCCGTGGCATGCATCCAGACATAAAGGCACTAGATGGCACTAGTATATGCACAGTGGCACCGCTGGTTGCTGGAACAAGCTTTATGAAGCTTTGCGACACTTCCAATTCACCTTAAGCTCACTTTTTTTCTGCGTTCACTTCACTCGAAATCTCACTGCCAGATCAGATACCCCCTGATCTGGCTACACTACATCGCAGATTGAAACCCGATTTGACTTGGAATTTGAACATTCTGAATTCCAATGAATTAGGCCCCTTTGGCTAGCGGCTAGGCTGTAGGTTTCACCTGGCAACAGTGCGCTGTGACAGACAACTGGCAACTGACAACAACGGCAACAATTCCAGGTCCAGCATGCAACCGCATGAACAAAAATGTGAGAGTGTCAGTCATACTGTCACTTCTAGATTCTAGCTAATCACATACGCAAACAATGCAAAACTATCAAACTGACCAGATTGACAGATGGTCAATGTGTTTCTTTTTTTTACGCTATTGGTTCGCGTATTCTTCTGTACAGAACTGACACGCAAGTGAGATGCAAAGCTTGTCAAAATGGCCACTGGCTGCAATGAGCGTAATGAACAGCAGTGGCGACTAAACTCAAATCCCAAAGTTCAGTCTCAGTCCAGATCCAAGCCCTCAATGCCATAAACATCAGAGAGCCTAGATTTTTCTCGAATCCGGCGTGGTGGCGTCGCTGTTTCTCGGATTCTTTTCTTGTAGGATTCACGGGCAGCACACCTGACCAAAAGGCAAAGCAAGCAAGCCACAAACACAAGAGTCTAGTTTATTATATAAAGACATGAAACATGCCTACTCCAATGCCTACTTTTAATCACACCCAATTCTCCAAACAAGTCCTGGTTCACCTGTATATAACCCAGGTCATAACCCACCCCAACTGCTGGCCTCGCCAAGCGAATGTTTTTGAACAGTTCTGGAACACGCTGGTGTCGAACTTCTGACAACGAGTGGAGCTGAAGAAGTGCCATCACCCCCACATGCATTGAGTTCCCAACTTGTCCAAAAATGTGTCTTCCCGAACGCTTCTCGTTCTTCATGTGGAAAGTGCAGAGCTCGAGCTGGGTGTCATGGAGCACAGGAAGGACCGGATAGTGCTGGCAAATCAGAGCCTCTGTTGGCATTAGCCACCGTTTTGCGTGATCACTCCAAACCAAGCCGAAGTTCGAAATGAGAGTGAACAAACTGAACTCATCAGTGCTATGGTGACCATGACCACTCTGAGGATCTTGATTCAATTGATAGACCCCTCCAGGCCAGGATTTGCGGTACTGCTGAAGAAACGAATACTCCATCTCATTCAAAGCTTCTTCGAAGGTAAGTTCAATCTCTGTTCCTTCTTTCTCTGCTTCCTCAGACATAGCACGAGCCCTACTTGTCGGACGGCCACAAGCCCAACGGATTTCATCTTCTAGTTCATTGACGAAGATGCCCTTGCCACGCAAAGCATCGAAATGTAGAAACCATGCGCCTCACAAGCTTCAGTCTGACTTCAATGACTTCAGTCCCTCTGCAATAAGTACAGATGCTTTTTTGAATAGCCAATGAGCCAATGACCAATGACCGTCAAAAATTTGATAACAAGGGAACTAAAGAGACATTGATAAATGGGACAAACGTTCAAACAAGACACTCTTCCATGACCATTGACAAATGCGGAAAAAGCGCTTGCAAAACCTTGACAAAGGCGATATGACTTCTGGTGCTTTCATCCGATGAACCATCTTCACAAACTCCCTTTCACGCTGGAAAGGATCACCCAACATTTTCGGGCTGAGCACGACCCTTTCCATAAAGTAGAACGGGCTCAGGAACCTCAGGAGTAGGTTTCCAAGGCCAGCATCTTGCACACTGGCTGGGTTATCACTGCAGCTGCTGCTGCTCCCCTGGGTCTTGACATTCTCGCTGATGATCTCTCCACATTGCAAGGCAATCATCAAACCAATCCACGCCAGCGTGAAGAGCATCTCCGGGTCTGCTTGACCCATGTTTGCTCCTTTCCTGCTCCAAGGCTTGCAACTTGTCCCTGCTATATGCCGGGCACTGGAATGTATGGTGCATTCTTTGCCATGGGTGGCACAAAACGCAGACAGCTTCATGGCTTTGTTTGCAGAGAGCACGGGTGCTAGAACTTCAACGGCCATCGAAGGATTCTGCATTAGGTCATCTATGGTTGGCTTCAATTCATCTGAGTAGAAGGAAGCCACATTGGTGAAGAGGCAGATTCCATGTTTCTGTGCCATTGGAAGGAGCTCATTAATGCACTGCTGGTTCCACTCGATCATGAAAGTCATGGGCTGACGTTGGAAGGGAACACCCAATCTTGCACTCCAAGCTTGTCTTAGCATGTTGGCTGCAGTACTTGCTGCCTCAATTCCTGAGAATGCCGTTGACATTGTGTCTTCACACATGGCATCGTAAATGCTAAGGACCTTTTCCTCTCCGTCTTCTTCAAGAATGGTCTCCAAGCAATCTTGCTCAAACATGAAGGATTCAGCCATCGTGGTAACAACCTTTCGATTGCGATGTGGGTCAATCTGGAAACTTGAAGGTAGTTCTTGGGAAGCAGAAGCGGCAGAAGCGGTAGAACCAGAGCTGGCAGAAACTGGGTCAATGACTTTTTCTTCCTGAACACTCACTGCCTTCACTGCCGCGACATTCTCCTGAACCTCAGACTGCCCCTGGTCAGCCTGTTCGATCTTGATTTCTGGGGGGACTGCTGGGGCTGAGCCTGAGCCTGCAGGCGGTATCATTTCTTTTGCTTCGGCATTTTGGCTTGCTTTCGCAGGATCATGGTCAACTTGACATGGAGTTGGAACAGCTTCAGCCCAGGCTGAGGTTTGCTTTTCCGGCTGAGGCTGGGGCTGAGGCCTGCTCTTTGCAGCCGTCATGACTTTTGCCTTGTCAGAGTGCGCAGGCGAACCAAACAGACCAGCAGTATCTTGGCTGTCCTCATCACCATGCGCACGAACAAGCTCGCTCAGCTCTCTCCCTATCGACATCGCACTCTGCTGAGAAGCTGGCAAGTCTTCCATGTTGCCTGGCACGCCTTGCTTCGCCAAACAAGGGGTTCCATGTGGTGCAGCATCAAAGCACTTACCCTCCTCGTCCACCATGAAATTCACCCAGCGCGGCCCCAGATCCTCCTCGAAAGCCGCAAATGTTGTTCAACTGCAAATGGCAAATTACAAACCACTGCGAACCACATTGCCAGCACTCAAACAAACCAAACAACATACCAATACAACTTGCAACAAATACAAATCAAGCAAACCATCAAACCATATTCCGTCCTTCGATGATTCGGCCATGTTGGGCGCAGTTGAAGGCATTGCTGACGTATAGGACTTGACGCATAGAGGGACTAGCACTGGAGCCACATTGTTGAACTGCCACAACAAATACTGCTTCAGCTCAGGCTTCAAGTTCAAATCCTGCCGTGTTTGCTTGAGCTCCTCCTCATTGCTGGGCAAAGCATTGGCCTGACCAGCGGCCATCAATTTCTCTGGCGTCATCCTGCGGTTGGCCTCAAATTGGAGCACAGCCACTACCTTGTAGTGGTGGGAAACATCACTGCACTGGCCACTGAACTCATTGCTAGACACATCGCCTTGGTGCACCAATAGGTACATCGATTCACCCTTTTGCAAGGTACGGCATTGCATTGGCATCACAACCATCTCCTGCTTTCCAGCACATATGGCGCTTGCTTCATTCTTACGCACAACAATTCCTGACAGCTGCTTTCCCAGCGGTACTCTTCCATCTCTCAATTTCAAGTCCATCTCTCAAGCGGCTCTTGGCACAGTAAGTTGGATTTCGATTCAACTAGCTACTACTTTTGCAGTGGATAGTCTTTTTTGGTACAGTGTTTATATATATATACATACATATATATAGTTTAAACATCTATAGATACACATATACACATAATATAGACACACTTTCACTTTGCATACTTCACATATGTTTACGTGTATATATGTAGTGGATGTGGTGGCTGCATACTTTGACTTTGCACGCGCCGTGTGAGCCTGTGAGCCTTGTTTTAATCTAGGCATCTAGGCAGCAGAAGCTTCAGCAGAAGTCTCAAATCCCAAACTTGAAAGCTTGCAAAACTTGCTGAAGGCTGAACTTCGAGTGTGCCACAAAATTGAAGCACAGATAACACGTGAAGACGGCCGCTTAAATTCTTTG